TTGCATGCTGGAGACACGTCTTGTTGGAAGAGTGGGTCTGTAATCTCAGCAAAACAGGCTGAGGTTCCTGCCTAGAAGATATGGGAAAGAAGTCTCTCAGATCTTCTGTGTTTCATGTGATTCTCCATGTTTTGCCTTGAGATATTCACTCAGCCCTTCATTTCTATTCAACCGACAGATGTAAAGCACATACAACAGGCTAGCCATGTATTAGGCCTTGTGAGGATTAGAAATATGAATTTGATGTAAATCCTGAAACCTGACTTTATAATCTAGTGAGAAAGAAATAAATGTGCAAACATTAGTCTATAATACAAACCAGAATATGACAATTTGAAAATAGAGGATAAATATCTTGCTGAGGGAGCTGTGGCTGTGGGGATGATCAGGCTTCAGAGAGAAGGATGAGGAGAGTCTTGAAGGATGAGAAGGAATTTGATAGAGAATGAGGAGGTTGTTCCATGTGTGAGGAAAGTCCCAGAGGTAGGAAAGTCCTATCATGTACAGGGAACAGTGGGTGGAAGGAAACAGCTGGAGGCAAGACCCAAAAGAGGGTTTGGAACCAAATCTTAACCATATCTAGTTGTTTAGTTTGTACCTGGCACTAAGGAATCCTGCCACATGGGCCGGTGGGGAATGAAATCCACTCCTCCATCGGCTCACCTGCAGTGCTGAGACAACCCAGAGGAAAGGTGTCTTTTCTTTTTTTTAATTTATGATTATTATTTTTACAGAGCATGAAGTATTTTATCATGCAAGTTGGTAAAAAAAAGAAAATGATGTTGGGCGTACAAAAATCCTTTGATATCCCTAAGCTAGATAAAAGTAGAGCAAACAGTATTTCTAGAACCCAATATAGTGACAGGTGGCTAAAGTCTTTAAGTGGTTTTTAGGGACATCTTTTCCAGTTGGCACAAAGACATCATATGGGCTAGCGAGCCTTACTCTTGATAGTCTTGAAGGTCACCCCAAGGAGTTTGGGCTTTGTTCTGTAGGCAATGGGAAACCATCGAGGATTTTTGAGACGGCTTCAAGGATCTTTAAAAAGTAACGTGAATCATGGGAATAATAACAAGATGGCTATTAAGTATACTTTTTGTTGCTGCTCATTCTGCTTCAGGTATATTCTTGTGTAGTCACAAAGGCCTCTGATAGGTAAATTTTTCTAACATTTGAGTGAATGAATCACGTAACAGTTAGATGAATTTTTTAAGAGCCCATGTCAGGTGTAAATCTAAAGCCTGACTTTCCAGACATTCAGCCTAGAACTCTTATCTCCCTGGATTTTATTATGTTATGCCCCTATAAGGATCAGTAATGCAATATCTGATTGAGTGGTTCGATGAAAGGGCAAAATAAAATGGAAACCACACACACACACACACATATAATCTAAGAGTAAAAAAATAAACTCATGTTTCCCCTTGGATTTTTTTAGACACTCTTTATTTTTCCATTTAAAACTAAAAACTCTTTAGACCTTCTAATAAATTAAGCTGAAACTGTAAAACATTGGTAGGTAGTTTACCCAAATAAGTTCAAGATTATGAGCAAAAATGTCAACCAACTTACCCCCTTGCACATTCTGACATATTGCCTTTGTCTCTATGTTAAATAATTCATCGTAGATCCAATAGTCATTAAAGGCTGTAAGCCCCCAAGGAGCAGCTGTGTCCTTTGCTTTCCTGGGTGCAGACCAAATTCCCACTCCAGGGAATGTAGAACGGAGAGCAAATTTCAACTCTGGACATTTTTCTGGAGGAGGCTCTCCCCACTCCTGGTGTGCTGTTTCCCCACCTTGTTTTTCAGGATTTCAGCACAGATGAAGGCAAGACTCCTAGGTGTGAGTCCGGCTGGTAGTGCATGGGGGGGAGAGGGGGTGGGGAGCACTAAAAGGAAATATTGGAATCATCAAAAATAAGACATGGAAAAAAACAGAGTTTCTCTAACCTACACGCATCATACGTACAGAAAAGAAAATTGAGACCCAGAGAGGTGAAGTGATTTTTCAGGTTACAGGGTTCCTGATTTCCAGCCTGCTGCTTTTTCTACCACAATATTCAGCATCACTAAATCTGTACCATTCTGTCTTGTGTGGGCTTTAGTAGAGTCATTACTTATTTTTCAGTTATCATCCTGCTATATCTGGGCACCTTTTTTTTTTTTTTTAGCACTTTTAAAATTGACGTATATGTCACATACAATTCACCAGTTTAAATTGTATGCTTCAGTGGTTTTTAGTATATTCAGTATTTTGTGCAGCTACCACCACTTTCTAATTCCAGAACATTTCCATCACCCCAAAAAGAAACCCTGTACGTATTAGCAATTACTCTCCCTTACTTGCTCCAGGCCCTGACAACCACTAATCCACTTTCTGTCTCTGTAGATTTGCCTGTTCTGGACATTTCTTATAAATGGAATCATACAATATGTGGCCTTTCGTGTCTGGCTTGTTTCACTTAGCATAATGTTTTCAAGGTTTGTCCATGGTGCAACACGTATCAGTGCTTCGTTCCTTCTTATGGCTACAGATATGGGCTTTTTAAAGTGGATTCTTGACTCAGAGATAAGTAAGAGTCTTTCCCTCCGAAGATTTTTTCTTGGAGGTAGAACTTTGGCGTATCTGAGCTGGGGAGAATGCAGTCCTTTTCTAGGATGCAATTTCATTGTACACAACTCGCCATATGGACCTAATTTTCTCCCTCTCTGTACACACTCTGCTTCCTCTGTTCAGCTTGAGAGAGGCCCCATAATAGGGGGCAAGCTTTCAAACTCAGCCAGGATATTATGACCACCTTGCCCAGTCGCTAGCAGTAATGTAACTCAGAGGTGCAATCAGGCAAGTGGCTGCATTGTAATTAATTCTTTTGCTTAAGTATAATAAGATATCACAGAGGAGAAATTCTGCTAGACATTCTGCTAATTGTAACTGAATGTAGCCCAGGATTACCAAGCCCATTCTTCTCAAGCACAGTTCACTTTGCAGCATACCCTGCTGCATACGTAGCTTGGAATCAGAGGTAAGCCAGACCTATTTAAGCTACAGCTAAATATAATTCACTCTCTGTTTCAGAGCTTGGGGCAGGTTGCGGGTGGGGGGAGGTGGGAGGATGGGCTGCTCTTGCTCTTTTTCAAAAGGAAGTTGCTGTACTTTCCTTAAACTGTAAAATATCCTCCAAATGTGAAGGTTCTACATCTGGGAAAGCCGTGGTACCATTGGATCCATTCTAGATGTATTTATTATCTATCACAGTATGAAAGGGGAAGATGGCTTTATTTTTTTAAAGCTCAAATATGTTGTAACAGGTTATACTGGACATTCAGAATTTTTGGATTTTATGATTTTTTCTTTGTTACTTTCTAGAAATTCCTTCGCTAGCTGATTTTCAAAGTTCTTCCTCAAAATAGATTAAATGTTCAGGAATCAGGAAGTTTTTCCTCATCCAAGTTGATGGATAATTTAGTGCGTTTTCTTGAAGAGCTTAAGTGGGATTACATTACGGGCATCTGAACATGTGAGATAGGGAGGAAGGAGAAGAGTAGTCGCTGCGTGACGGCAGGACACAGTGGGAAAGTTCAGCATTATCTTTCTCTAAAACATGAAGTTCTACTCATGCTTTTTATAGGAACATGGCCTGAGAAAAGCATAATGTGTAGCATTATTTGGCTTCAAGAATTCATTGTGAGGAGCTCAACAAGGCCTAACTACTGCTACAAGCCATCCGCTCGTACGGCATATGTTGTCTGGCTGACACACCAGTGTGCCCTTCCCATTCTCTCTTGCCTATCTCTGATCATTAAATGCTCACTTTCTCTACCTCTCTGGAAGCAGGGGTTCTTATGGAAAGAAGTTTATTACATACCCATCCTTTGCTTTACTAACATTTACTCTGATACTTCTACCTGAATATCCATCACGTCCCTCTTTTTCTGTCTCCTGTGTATTTCAGTGCTAGCTAAAGTCTATTGTTATTGTTCCCACAGGTTCTTTTCTTAGAAACTTAATAGAGGTTTAAGTTTTCAATTTGGCTGGGGGAAGGGGGGGAGATTTACAAGACCCACTTTGAAAGGAATATAGTCCTGAGTAGTTTCATTTTCAAAGTCTACTGTTTATCGCTCTGTTTAGATAAAAATATTTCCTGGGGCAGTCGAACCCCCTACGTGGCAGAACAGGTGATGTGGGAGAAGGGGAAAGGGAAACTGACTGTATCTGTCAGTACAAAGCTGTCTGACTATAGGCCTGTTTGTGCATGAAGACAATACTTTTAGAAACCCATAACCTTTAGCAACCTCAAATGCCAAAAGCAGAGTGTGAAATAACCAGGGTAGAAAAAACTGAGGGCTTGTTATTGATCTTTGTTACTGTAATATGCCCTTAAAATTTTAGAGAAATTTGTATTTTTTAGAAGAAAAAAGAATTCTCTACTTTTAATCATTTTCAAATTAATCCCTTGAGTATGTGCTTGTGGTCCATTTAAGAGAGTCTTGGTGCTGACATATTGTTTTGTCTGTTAAGGATATTGTCCATTGTATCATGTAGTTTCCTGTTTATTAGGATCCTTGGGGAAATTTTTCTGTCTGATCACAGAACTGAGAATATTTATAGCTGAGCAATAGGGTTATTTTTATCTCATGAATATTGTAGCTGACTTAATTGTCAATGGTCTGCCGAGTTTTGTTTTATTGGGTGCATTTTTAAAAAGTTATCTAAAAAGGTGCATAAGTCTCAGAGTGTTAGTTCCTATTTGAAGAGAATGAGTTAATTGGGTTATATTCTCATGTAACGGCAAAGAACAACTAGCCAGTAATACACCCAATGCCTCCAGTTGATATTTTCCAGCATTGACTCAGGCTATGCAGTGTTAACTAGCATCATATGAATTTTCAAAGCTTTATTTATTGCTATCACCACCTTTAAGGATTTTCATCGTAATGACAATAAATACAGATCAGTGGGCATTTTAATTAAGAAAACAAACAATTTCGAAAATATATAATTGCTTTAACATCACAATACATGTTTATTTTTCACTCAGATCAAGTCTAAAATGGATGTTCCTGATCAGCATATAGCTCTCCTCCAACCCAGACTCCTTCTAACTTGTGGCTCCACCATCTTCAACATGAAGCTTCCAAGATTGCCCTGCTGCTCTGCATCAAGCCTGCAGAAGAGGAAAGGTCACAGAGGGAGCAGGGGGGAGGAAGGGTTTAATGGGCTAACTCACTCATATGTCACTGGTTAAAAGTCAGCCACATGGGGGGCTGGCCCAGTGGCATAGTGGTTAAGTTTGTGCACTAGGCTTTGGCGGCCCTGGGTTTGACGGGTTTGGATCCCCGGTGCAGACCTAGCACTGCTTGTCAAGCCATGCTGTGACAGCATCCCACATAAAATAGAAGAACAGCACAGATGTTTGCTCAGTGCAAATCTTCCTCATACAAAAAAAGTCAGCCACATGGCCACACCTAACTGCAAGGGAAGCTGCAAAATAAAGTCTACTTCTGTGTCCAGGAAGAGGAGGAAACAGGTTAGATGAAGACCCAGCCAGTCTCTGCCACAGTGAATCAGGTGATGGAGTAAAAGACACAGAGACTTTATAACCTGAAGAGGGATGGAAAATTCAATTAACTCTAATCGCTTGGTGAAAAGATAGGCTGCTCCCCAAGGGAGACTGCAGAACTCTCTCTGCCCAAATCATGTGTTAAAAAGTGAAAGAGGCTATGATAAAAATAGGATAAGGGTGAGATTTGAAAGACACTCTGGAGATGCAAGGCCCACTCCTCCTCTGGTGACACAGCAGGCAAAACCAATCCAACTATAAAAAGCAGCTCAGTGTGTTAATCTGTTGCTCAGAAGGAATCATCCTGGAAAAATGTCTGGTTTTATATGTCTTCCTGATAATCTGTATTGCAGTTTCAAATAACTCCAGCCTGCCTGAAAGGCCTCCTGCTCCCTCGGCTAGTTGAAGGGTCTTTGCTTCCACAGAAAAGATGTGGAGAAAGTGTGCAGATGGTGCAGCCAGTCAAACTCATAGTGTTACTTTTGTGTTAAGTCAGGAGTAACGTTTTATAACCATTGTGATGATCAGTTTGTGTTTGTTATTTAAGAAGTTTGAAATGTTTAAGAGAATAACAAATTAGCCTTGTAATTTTGTTTTGAAATGGTAAATTGGTACTCGATTTGTGATTTTCATTTGACAGTTGTAAAATAATCAAATATATTTGTAAATAGTGTTTGAATATTTAAGAGAAACCAATTTCCTACATGTATACATTAGTTTTATTAGATTTATAAGAGTTAATTGCGATGTAGCAAGATTTGCTTGCTGGGTTTTTAAATGTTTCCCCATCAGGCATTTGAAATGTTTCAGAAAATCAAATAGATTGCATTTGCAAGGGTGGTAGAAAAAATTTTAGGAAATTTAATTACATGTGTAAATGTGGTCAATTGTTTGAGAAAATTTAATCTTTTAAGTCTGTAAGTCAACTGAACACTAATTAAATAACAAAAAAGCAATTGTTTTCAACTTTATATAAAAAATCACTATATGTACAAACCAAGTAACTAGATTTATAGGATAAATTTGAAGACAAAAAAAACTGAGATAAAATGCTCAACTTTAACAAACTGAATATTAATTAAGTAAAGCAGATATAAGTAGTTCCATTTTGTTCACAAATCTCTCACAGTTAAATACTTAATTGATAGAAGTAAGAAATAAGAAAGAAACAGAGTGGTAGGCATTTAATAGAAAGTAGGACCAACAACACAAACAAATTAGTTTCTTTCGAAGTGTGGTATGAGGCTAGACATTGGCCCATGATATTTTGAGAAAAAAAATCTTTAGACATCACAATATCATAATTTGGATATCAAAATAGGTATAGCAGGTTGCTATATTATATACATACTAAATTCTCACAAAGTCTACTACCTGAGCTTGGTAATGACAAAAGAAGTTAATTTCGTCTCAGTCTCCTAAGGCCTCCTAAAGATTTAGGGAATTTTCAAAGGCAATGTTGCCTTATCGATTGACTTTTGACTGTAATGAGAAGTCAGGTATGACTCTGCCCAGGTCACCACCTGACCCGAGCTTCTGTGTTGCATTTTGCTCACAGAAGGGAGTTCAGTTCAGCTGATCCTGGTTCTAGAAGGCTGAGGGGCGCAGGAGTGGGAAAGAAGCTGAGAGTTCTGGAGAACTGAAGACTAAACTGTGGCCCCCCAGGGGAAGAGCCTTGCCTTAGAAGCCCACTTCCTCACAGAGGAGCAGACAGGGGGAGCCAGTGGGATTGACAGGCAGAAGCTGAGCCATTCTAAGAATTCTGTCCAGAGCACGACAAGAAAGATCAAGGGCAAATCCTAGCCCCAGGAAATGGGTCTAACCAGGATTCAAGATGGGCACCAGAGCCCTGTGTTGACAGAGCAACTCTGGGAGCACATAAGAGGACAAGAGAAAGTCCTTTGGGAAGTGGCTACTGCCATAATGGAAATGTTTGACCATTTGCCGTTGAGATATACAGCAGAACAGAGACTAAATATAATCAGCATCCCCACCAGCTGAGGGGCAGGAGAAGAGACAGGAAAGGCCTGGGGAGAACTGCATGCTCTTTAAGGACAGATGGAATAGACAGTTGGTGTCCTACTGCCTTAACATCTGTGGTACTAATTACCATCACCTTAACTGTGAACCAGGTGAAGAAGCAAGGCAGCAGCATACGTGAGGTTCTGAGGGGTGAAGGTGAGACCATAGTGCTGTGCAAAACCGCAGGAGGTTGGTATGGGGTGTGGAAAAGGAAGAGGCAAGAAATGGGGCTGCATTAACAGCATCCTGGGCCTCCCTCTAGATGATGGTAATGCTGCCCTAAGTGTGACAACCAAAAATGTCTCCGGACACTGCCAAATGCCCCCTTGGAAACAAAGTTGTCTGTGGTTAAGAATCATTGCTCTGAAGGTAAGCTCTATGAAAACTGAAATTTTTTCCTTCTATATCTCTAGGACCCATAAGCAGCACTGGATAAGTATTTGTTGAATGAATAAATGCGTGAATGGATGGATGGCTTATAGATAGTAACAGCAGTGGAAAAGTAGTGATAATATGACAGTAAAATTCAGAAAACTTCCTAGATTAAACAGGTGAAAATTGATTGATATAAGAGAGATTTATCCCAGTAAAGTTAAGAAAGAAATAATGGTTATACATACAATGGAATATTATTCAACCTTAACAAAGAAAGAAATCCTGTCACATGTAACGTCATGGATGAATCTTGAAGACATTATGCTTAGTGAAATAAACCAGTCATAGGAAAAACAAATACTCCATGATTCTACTTTTATGAGGAATCTAAAATAGTCAAACTCATAGAAGCAGAGAGTAGAATGGTGGTTGCCAGGGGCTAGAGGAGGAGGAAAAGGGGAGTTGCTATTCAACTGGTGTAAAATTTCAATTATACAAGATGAATAAGTTCTAGAGATCTGCTGTACAACACTGTGCCTATAGATAACAATACTGTATTTATTATACACTTAAAAATTTGTTAGGAGGGTAGCTCTCATATTAAGTTTTCTTACCACAATAAAAAAAAAAGAAAGAATGATTTGTTTACACGTAAATTTTAAAAATTATTCTTCTAGTTAGTACATTGGTCTATTTCCTCATGTTAGTAATGAATATATGCTTACCATATAAATATATTTTTAATACATTTAAACATAGGTTATATTACTTCTCTGGGGTTCTTAACATTCCCTTTGGAAAACTGCTTCTGTTTAAACCACAGAGCCCATTATACTACTTAAGAGATCAGACCACTGATCACCTAGTGATAGCAACAAGAGGCAAAGGGCATAGAATGAAGGAACAGAGTACAAAACACCTTTAACATTTCCCCCAAAACACCAGGATGCAATAGCAATATCTCAGAGGAAAATCTGGTTGAATTGGTAGGGTGAGTAAGATTTTGGTGGATCTGGGAGGCGAGGTGAAGGAGTTGTTTTAAGGGAGTGAGCACTGGAGACCTATGAGTTACATGTTGAACACTGTTTCACGTTGCCAGCAATGCCCTCAGAAGATTCTTCAGGCAGTGGTGGGCAGGGCAGACAGCGGAGGGAAAGAGATGCATTTGGATGGGTTATGATGGGAAGTGAACCAAGACAGTTGGTCGCTGGAGCGCAGAGCCAAAGGAATAGAGTGTGGAAATTACTGTAAAGCTATACTTCTGTTGAGTGAGGACAGAATTTTCACAAGGCTCACATTGTTGGTTTACAATTCATTGAATTTAACAATGTAATGATGATAATGGATTTATTTTCTTTTTCAAAACAACTCTGAGAGAGGGTTGTTAAGGCAGGGTCCTGAAGACCTGGACAAACCAATGCTCTCAAGGCTTTAGATAGCCTTGGCTACTGAGTCAAACCCAGTGTTATCTGAAGGTGAGGTAGTTATTTGTCTCAAAGGGTAATCAGCTTTAAGATAAGATTCTAGGATAGAATCTTCATTTTATAAATTCTTTTCACTAAGATCTGGAGAATAATTACGAGCTATAAGGTAATCAGATTTAAGATAAGATTCTAGGATAGAATCTTCATTTTATAAATTCTTTTCGCTAAGATCTGGAGAATAATTTTGGGCTACTATGAAATTATAACCTCGTGGCCTTGCTTTTTTAATTTTTATGAGATTGTGGCAGAGAAAGCCAGTGAATCCTCTATATCCATTCTTTTTATCTCCCTCAGTAACAGAATCCCTGGTTTTTCAGCTGGGAATATAGATATCCAGACAACACACCTTACTTCCTAGCTTACCTTGCTAGATGTGGCCCTGTTGCTAAGTTCTGACTAATGAGATGGGGGTAGAAGTATTATGTGGAAGCTTCTGGGAATTTTCATTAAAACTCACCCAGTGTCTGCTCTTTGCCCTCTCTTTTCTTCAACCCTCCCTCCATCATGCTGCTGGGCCCCAGATGCAGCCATCCTGGGCCATGAGGAGGCAAGCCACCCCTAGGGATGGCAGAGTGGGAGCCAAAGGACCCTTGAGGACTTTGCAGAGTTGTCACACCAGCTGCCCAACTGGACCTTCACACGAGACAGAAATAATCTCATATTTTGTGTAAGCCTTTGTTTGGGGGGTTTTCTGTTACTAACAGTCACAACTAATCCTCAGGAATTCAAAATATTAAATTCCGTTCTCTTGTCTCTCACTCACCCTATTAAAAATATTTTTTTAACTTCTCCCCTCATTCATTCTGTCTTCTCCATAATTTGTCCCATATGTAGTTGATAAATGATCTCTTAAAGTCCTGGCTGAATCATATCACCTCCCATCCCTTGCAACTTGTGTTTGAGACTCTTCAGTGTCTTCCCAGTTCCCTCTAACCCTGTTATGCTTCCTCAGCCTGGTATGTAAGGCCTTTGCAATCTGCATCCATCCTACCTTTCTAGTCTTCTCTTCCGCCACTCCCTCTGCATGGCTTGGACAGCCCCTTTTCTCCCGAACTGTCTATCTTCATCTCTTCCTGTCAAAGTTCTCCATCTCTTTCAAGACTCATCTGAAATATCACCTTTCCCATGTAGATTTTCCTCCTTTCTCTCAGCAGAATGAGGTCCCTCTCTCTATGCTATATCCGTAGCACTGTGTATCTCTCCCCTGACAATTGTACTGTGTGGTGCTCTTTAATTATTCTGTCCTTATTTTATCCCCATCCAGCAAGTTTTGTGAAAACAGAAACTATGTTTTTTCATCTATGTAATCTCTGCCGCCCTTTGCATAATTCTTGCTTAGGATGGATGCTTAATAGCTATTTGTGGAATTGAATGGTCAAGGCTTCTTGGCATAGAAAGAAACCAATATGATTCATTGCTGATTGGTTTGCTTTAGATTTTACTGCTCAGTCTCTCTCATCTGTTCTACTTCTCCTGAAGCAGAGCCCTTTGCTGTGGTGAAGATAATAAGATACTGTCTTGTGTATTTAATTGTCATCTTTTATTAAATTGTAGCCCCTTGATCAGGGACTATGTTTTAAACTTATTTTCTATTTCCTTCCCCATCATCTCTCCACCCCACCTCTAATAGTTCTTAGCTCAGTGCCACACTTACTGAATTATTTAAAATACTTGTTGAAGTGATGAATGAATGAAGTCAAGTACCTCTTCCTTGACATTTTCCACATTTTCTTTTCCCAAACGTTGTTTTTTTCTTTTCCACTTCCAGAACCTGCCACTCATTCTGATGCTCTCAGCTTTCTTTTGCTCAGTTGCCCAAGCATCATTCTTCAGGGATCATTCCCAACTCTTCCAAGAGTTCCCAGATGTGCACTAACCAAAGAGAAGAAATAATACAGTCTTTCTTTAGCCTCCATTAATGAAAAAATGGTCCAGGACCAAATAGCTCCAGGTGCCAAATCCTTTTTAAAGGCTTGATTGTAATGTAGGCAGGGCTTTTAGATATCTACATGGATATGTTTAAATCAAGAACTGCTATGAGTCCAACAAGTATGATGCTATGAGGTCAACACTCCAAGACAAATAATGTTTTTATAGGCAATCAAGATCTGTTCTTGTTTGTTTTTTGTGTGAATACATTTTACTACTTTCCAAATTGGAATTAAAATAGATTAAGATCTGTTCATTTTCTGATTTCAAGATTGCCAAGTATCCCCAGGAAACATGAGGTTGGGAATGCCACCCAGGACAGTACCCCCAACAAAAGGGTCTGTAGCCAGTAGACTTCCCATGGGTACTGCCAAGTAGAAGAATTCATTTTCCAAAAACCACACTGTTTTCTAACACATCTTTCTCCCTCTACTCTCCCTGGTACCTTTCTTTGATGGTGTCTTGTCTGATTAAAACATACTCAGTGAGTGAGCATCCCCATAAGTACATAGTCTCATTACTTAAACTACTTTGATAGAGCTTTTTACAGTTCAAATTTTATAGCTGATACCAGATTTACTTCTTAATTCCATTCTTCTGCCCAGCCCAACTGACAGTCCTTTGCCTCATCTATTTCGTCACTGAGGAATAAAGTTCTACTACATGGGTCTGTGGGTCATGCCCAAACATTCAGGCCAGACTACACTCCATAAGGCCTTGAGTATTCGAAGTGGTAATCCTCCCCTAGTTTCCTGCTCATATAAATTTCCCAAAACTCACTTTCCCATTTTGGGAACACACACCTCCAGTCAGCTCCCTAATCTATTCTTCCTTCTCTTCTATTTAGACAGTTCTTAAAGACCGTTCCCAGCAGTCATTCAACCTGTATCAAATCATGGTGCTGTCAGCTCTCCTTATTTCCAAAGTTTTGTTCGGTTCAACAGACCTTTATTGACAGACTGTCTCATGCCAAGTCCTGTGCTAGTCTGTGGGGATGTAAAGAAGACTAAGACATGGTTCCTGCTCTAGATAGGTGGGGCTTATAGCTTCCCCTTCTCCTTTGAAGTACTTACCCCTCGTCCAATCATTGGTCCACATGGATAGAACATTTCCTAGGAATTGTTGTGTTTTTCAGGGTTGTGGGCTACACCATGTGACCCTACTATTCAAGCAGGCAAAACACATTCAGATGAGTGTCCATCAGCAGAAGGAAAGTCTCTCCCTCACTCCTGTTTCCTTACCCCAACAATTTTGTATCACAAATGGCCTCATTTGACTTTTGCTGTATGCTGCAGGAGAGATTTGGGAGAGAAAGGACTCTCTTGTTGCTTTGAAACAAAATGAAACTTGTGTCTAGGGCACTTGAACCAATTGGTCATCTCCTATTTTTTCCCTAACAAGATTACCCAGGTATCTTTTTTTTTTTTAAATACATTTTTTTTTTTTAAGATTTTATTTTTTCCCTTTTTCTCCCCAAAGCCCCCCGGTACATAGTTGTATATTCTTCATTGCGGGTCCTTCTAGTTGTGGCATGTGGGACGCTGCCTCAGCGTGGCCTGACGAGCAGTGCCATGTCCGCGCCCAGGATTCGAACCAACGAAATACTGGGCCGCCTGCAGCGGAGCGCGCGAACTTAACCACTCGGCCACGGGGCCAGCCCCAGATTACCCAGGTATCTTGCATGAAAATCTGATAAATAAAAGAAGGTCCACCATCAGGAATAAAAGAGTGATGGAGTAGGGGATACCAGCTATCCCAAGGAAATCTAGGAAGAGAGGATGGGAAGAAAGCTATGAAAATAGAAATCTGTGAGAAGTCGTATTGATTCCTCCCCTCCCCCACCCCTCTCAGGCTTGACTCCGTATCTTTGAACTAGAGGGAGTGTCTGTAGCTCTTCTCTGGGGAAGGGGAAGTCCACCAAGGAGTCAATGTTACTATTTCTCTAGCTAGGCCGTCTGCACATGTGGTCCCTTCTCCACTGGTCACTGTCTCTAAAAGTATCATCTTTCTGGTTAATCTTCTGCCATTAGCACCCACTAGGTCCATATGTCCTCTCTCATGTTAATCTAATCTTTGGACTTTGTTATACTTTAAAAATGTCTCTCTTCTTTCTGGTTTCGAGTTACATTACAAAGCCGCCTTCTGTGAACTTAGCCTTGGGTAGTCCACGCCCGATCCCTCTTCTTGGACTTCCCTCATCAACTGCATAAGCATGTGGGTGGGAGTGAGGCATCCAGGACAGTCCCCGCAAATGAGAACCGACAGGAAAGGGGGAAAGTCGGGGACAATTACTACTGGAGACTTTTGGGATTTCTTGAAGTTTTGTTACCTCTCTTGTGTTTGTCTTTGTGTGTGTGTGTGTGACTCTATTTCCACTGAGTGGTAAAAACTCTTAAAAAGGAGATTGTACGCTTGTCTCAGAAACAGTAGAGAGTGAAATTGAGGGGAGGGATGCAGAGTCTCTATGCTACTCTGAAAGTCAGTCTAGGCCAAGAGAGGGGATCAAAGTGAGGGGTCCCTGGGACCATGGGAAGGAGAACAAGCGAGAGAAATCCCTGGGACTTGTTTTATCAATTAGAATGGAAGGGCTGAGGAAAGACCTTGCCTGGGACTGAAAAGAGAGTTTTCACCTGAAGAAAGGCCCAGTTCCCAAAACTCCTGTGGCATTGTAGCTGGTCTTTGATATTTCTGTACATTTGTAGATTAAATGAATGAGAGTCCAGGCACTCTAAACCAAGATTTTGGGGACTTTTCCTGGAAGCACCACTGTGTTTCAAGTAAGAAGGTCAAGATTCAAGTACTGGCTCCTGAGACCCCTGGCTGTGTGATCATGAGTCTGTCTCTTATACTCTCTGGGTTCTTGGTTTCTTTATCTGTGAGAGAAATAATATCTGCCTGCCTGCATTTCAGTCAACGGATATCTGTACAGTGCCATTATCCTCCAGGTACCAAGCTAGATGCTGGGAGCTAGCAGTGAATGAGACCCACATGGTCTCTGCTCTCTCATAGGTTACATTCTAGTTTGAAATTGGACATGAACAAGTAACTACAAGTGTGACAATGTCACAATGGAAAAGCACCTGGACTTGGGGGAACTTTGACCAGGGCACCTAAACTAGGCTTGGAAGTCAGGGGAGGCTTCCTTGAGCAAGCAGTTTGGGGTGAGATGCAAAGGATGAGTAGAAGTCAGACAGACAAAGAGGGAGGTGAGAGCTGGTCATGGCAAATGAACATCTGTGAAAAGACTGAGTTGGGGAGGACATGGCATGTTGAACCAGGAGAAGGACAGAGTGATCGGGATGCAAAGCCACATAGGGAAGGTGGAACACTGTGCTCAGCTTCATAGCCTGTAATTGATGAATTCTAAGGGAGACAAAAATGAATAATAAAGTGTTCATATTTCTTGGGCCAGGTGCCATGGTCACCACTTTACACGTATCATCTCTTTTATCTCTCCCAATAGCCACAAGGTCACATAACTATCAAATGGCAGAGCCAGGCCTCAAACTCAGGTAGCCTGCCCAAGCCCCTTCACACTATAGTGTGCTTTGTATAAAAACTCTATGCAGACTCGAAGACAATATGCCAGTGTCACCTATGGACAGGTGAGACCCAGAAGGAATTGTTTCTCCCCAAATCTCTTTTGGATATTTCTATTTTGTAGGAGTGTTTCCCAAGGCCACAGAGAATGTGAAAAATCAGCTTCTTTTTAGAGAAACTCATGAGGAACAAATGACTCTGGGTCAGCCTGTTCCTCTCTGGTCAACATCCTGGCAGGAAACTTCCAAACATGAGAGACTTGAGAAGGAAGGAGTGTTTTCCCTTGCCTGTAATTTGGCTTCCTGTTTTGCTTTCCAAAATTTGCATAGATTTTTTTTAAATGCTTTTAGGAAAAGCGGTTTTTTAAAATCTTTTCCATGAGCCAAGATTTATGTTGGTGAGTGATAAACCACAGGAATTGCATAGGATCAGCTTGAGTTCTTGGGTATAAACTCTGCTACCTCCTTTCTGAAGCCTAGTCTATGCCCCTTCACCTATTCACTTAGAAATATCCACTCCTCCCTTTTTGCTCTCACTCTGGCCCCACATATTCCTGTGGCACTTTGTCAAGCTTATATGCCTGTTAGTCTACTAGACTGTCAGCTCCTTGGAGGCAGGAGATGTTTGTCTCATCTATTTATCCCAGTGCTTACATGGTGCCCAGCACATGGCAGCCACTCAATAGATGCTTGTAGAATGAATGAGCAAACAATGCTTGCTTGAAGTATATCAGCATCAGTTGTGTACCTACTTTGTGACAAGCACTATGCCAGTGGCTTAAATCTATCATTTCATTAAATTCTTACAAGCCTGCTAGGCAGTTACTCTTATTCCCCATTTTTCAGGGAAGGGAACTGGGTCTCAGGGAATTAGGTGAATCACACAGGCAGTAAACAACTGAGCCAGGAGTCAAGCGCAGGTTTCTCTCCCTTTATACCTCTTTGCCTCCTGCATAAAGTGGCAGATGGAGGAAGTCAGCAGCTCAGAGGGTTTGCTGATCCTTATAGGTACTGGTCAATTTTTAAAAGCTGTCTCCTACTTAGCATGGTAAGGCTTGCTTTTGGGCAGCTCCAGCAGGATGAGGTTATGTGGACAATAATTGCCTTCATTGTCTGCAATCTTTCTTGGAAGAGGCAGCATGGAGTTGGGGAAGGAAGGAGACTGTGAGTCAGCCAGGCCACGGTTCAAATACTGGTTCTGTTGCTTACTACTATGTGACTCTGGCAAGATGTTCAACAGCTTTGTATCTGTTATAGAGAGACAATCACACCCACTGCATAGGACAGTGAAGAGTACATCAGAAATTTCAAGTAAAGTGGCTGATACATGGTGAGTGCTTTATAAAGGGGAGCTGTCTTTAATATGAAAATGCCTGTGAGGTGCTGATGTCACTGCATCAGTGG